TTTCTCAACGGAGGGCCATTTAATTAGTTTTTTCTTTAGGTTTTTTGGTTTCTTTTTAGTTAGCGAAGCTATGGGATTCTTACTTCAAATAACAATGAGTTGCCCGTGCGCGCTTTCGAGACAGGTCGCTGGTGCTAGTGCCGGGTGCCGGTTCTGGTGCTGGTGCTGTGAGCTGGCTGTGCACGTGGTGGAGACAGGGTGCCGGTGCTGGTGCTGTGCACGTGGTGGAGACGGGCGCCGGCGCTGGTGCTGGGTGCAGGCTGTGCGCGTGGTTTTTAGACAGGGTGCCGGGTGCTGGGTGCCGGGCGCTGGTGCTGGGTGCTGGGTACCGGTGCTGGGTGCTGGTGCTGGGTGCCGTGGGGTGGCGCGCCGGTGCTCGGTGCTGGTGTGAAGGGCGGCCAACCGCCGCTTCTGACAGTGAAGTGCCAGCAGTCATGGGCCGCATGAACTTATATGCGCGCAACATCATACGGTGTTGTCGTTTGAACGTTCTTTGTCTATTAGCGCTGTGGGGTATTTACACTCTTCAGGTTCTGTTTTGGCCGACAGCTGTGTCAAGGGCTGTACTGTTTGCGCGCACACTTTTGTACGTATAATGTTCTATGCGCAACGTCAGGCTCCCAACCGTGCTGGATAGTCCTTGGCGGTGCCTAGCTTTTGTGAGCCACACAAGGGTCAAATTTAGAGGAGGCAGGTGCAAACCTTTTGTGAGCCACCCGGGAGTCCGGGAGTAGATTTAGACGAGGAAATTGCAGGTCCGACGGTCCAGACCTTTAAATTCCAGCGCTTGCTCTCAGTGCTGGGATGCTGACTATAATCTGTTTTCATTGCGGGGGAGGCGCTACGCCCTCCCCCACGCCCCCTCCCGCTTTTTTAATTTAGGCGATTGCTACGGGACGGCCAAGCCTAAGCAATCAAGAACGCCCATCTCATCAAACACTTGGCTACTACCCATGACAACTTGAAACTTGGAGACGCAGTGCAACTTGTTCCCGGCAATTGTTTGGTTCAAAGCAGCGCTCGCCTTGAAATTCAGGCGGTTGCTTCGGTGCCGGGTTGCTGACTATACTTGGTTTTCATTGTGGGGGAGGCGCTGTGCCCTCCCCCGCGCCCCCTCCCGCTTTGTTAATATACACGATTGCTACGGGACAGCTAAGTACCAAAACCACAATCTTCTTTGCATTGAAAACGCCACAAAGGTGGATGATAAGGCTCGCCTTCGCATTGCTGTGACAACGCTACAAAGAGGTTTCAAGGCTTTAGCTGTTTATCTTCGGTGTTAACATGAACATGTCTGATGACACATGACCTGCAAAACCCCACAATGGTGGAGGCTGAGGGCCACTTCAACCACACCCAGCTTTCAACATAGCTTCTTTCCGCACTGTTCTATCCATTTTCCACTATCTACCTATGCATCTAACTATCTACCCATCCATCCATCCGTCCATCTATCTATCTATGAATCGATCGATGTAACTACCTATGTAACTATCTATCTATCTATCCATCTATCTATCTATCCATCTATCTATCTATCCATCCATCTATCTATCTATCTATCGATCGATCTATCTATCTATCTATCCATCTAATCAATCTATCCATCTATCCATCTATCCATCTATCCATCTATCTATCTAACTAACTAACTAACTATCTAATCTATCTATCTGTCTGTCTGTCTATCTTTCTGTCTGTCTGTCTAACTAACTAACTAACTAACTAACCAACTAACTAAATAACTAACTAACTAACTCACTAACTAACTAACTAACTAACTAACTAACTTATCAACCTATCAATCTATCAATCTATCAATCTATCTCTCTCTCTCTATCTCTCTCTTTCTCTCTCTCTCTCTCTCTATCTGCGCTTCCAAGTTCACAAAGTGCTGCCACGAAATTTACACTTCAAGGTCCACAAAGTGCCGCACCTACCACGAAATCTGCACTTCAAGGTCCACAAAGTACCGCACCTGCCACGAAATTTTCATTTCAAGGTCCACAAAGTACTGCCCTTTCCACGAAAAACGAAAAATCAAACAAATCCTACATTAAATCCGAGCCCTTTCTCAACCTCGTCAAAACTAAGGTGCTCCGCTGCATCCCATGCGGCATCCTTCAAACGGCTTATGACCAGAAACGTTCCCCCGACAGCAACTTCTCGTCCTCGTCTGGTGCACTGTCGCTGAAACAACTCAAGTCTGCGCCTGAAGCTCCTGTAGCTCTTCTGGTTCAGGTTGTCGGTGGACGGACATGCTTTTGCCAAACCTGAATCAAGTCCCTTGCTCTGCGAAGACGAAGAAAAAGGAACGCCCGGAATCTGAAGTCCAGGGTCATCAAGCTCGACGTTCGTGAACAGTCCTCCTCCCACAGCTCCGGGATTCCCGGGTGCGTGCTCTACGGACAGATGTCCTTCGTGGACTCCTCTCCACGCCGGACAGCCGGACATGTGGAGCTTATTCTCAACTTTCCGAAGGAAAACGAAGGTCTCTCCAATCTAAAAGATCACCGAAGACACCGTCAACCTGGAACGTCTTGAGCTCCGCTACCAATCTGGTTGTACAGGTTCCCGCAAACGAAGTCGGTCCCGCCTATTTTCCTCCAAGTCGATCGATTGGGCCGCAAGCCAAAACACAAACTACCGCAATGTACGACATGTACCTGCAAGTGAAAACTTGCATGGAGACGGGCAAAAAATCTTTTTGTTTTGAGCTTGCCACAACTTTCTCTGGCCACCCTTGTCACACACGATCTTCATACGTGCTCACAAACATCCATGCTCCATTCGGCTGAGCCAGATGCATCGAATCTGTCTCTGGGTTGTAGTGTGGGCAGCCGTTTGCTGCATTCTGTCAGCACGTTCACCACGAGCAAAGCTCATTCGCTCTCGGGCGTGTGGATCCTGTTCTTCATTCTCAGGACTTGTAGTGATTCGTCTTCAAGAGTCTTCTGGTCCTTGGCACGCATATCAATGTGGATGGCATTGCCCTAGTAGGGATCACAAATTGCAAATTGATGGCGTATCAAAGGCGTTTTGCAAGTGCCATGTACAATGCACATGCTGTTTTCTATCATGCTTGGGAAAAGGGTAACGTAAAGAGAAGGTTGTGCAAGCTGACTGCGCAGAGTATCTCGTATCATTACAAGACTGGAAGCTGCAAAAGCTCGAGTGACTTTTGCTCTTGACTCTCATGAATTGAGTTGCCCGCGCAAGTGAGATCACCTGTTGTAGCGCGCATAGAACATCCGTGCCTGCCACTCATGCAGCTAGTAAGTACATATCAGTAAATGATAGTAGGAAACGCATTCCTGGACAACCTATATACTATATACAGAACCTATTTGACCTCTATTTCGATAGGACCCTATAGCGTTTCAGTTTCAACCCAATCACGTCAAAGGTTTATCCACCTTCAGTCACGGACAAGCACTTAGAACAAATTTAGATAAATTTAGTAAACATGAACTTGTTTTGTTGTAAGTGATGTTTCTTTTCCAGCTCTCTTTCTTGTTTGTTTTTCACCGATTTGTTCTAAGTGGCTGTCCGCCACTATAATTTACGCAACAGCCACACGACAGACAGACTCCAGGTTTTTAAATCAATCTTGGTCTACCTAAATATGTATGTATATATATATACACACATGTGGCTGTGGGGCTGTGGGCTGTCCTGTTGGTAGGACGAAAGCAGGCCAAAGCTTCTGGAGGCACAGTTTGTATTACTGTAGATGTGCACACGCACAGGATAGTGGTGCCCTAGAGTGCTGATTCCAAGTCTCATCAACTTTCTACTGCTTTAGACACTTTATGATCCGGCATTAGACCTGGACCTCAATCTATCAGTCGGTGGCCCAAGGGAAAGGATAGGAAAGGCAGGAAAGGACAAAGAAGGGAAAGGAAAGGAACGGAGAAGGAGAAGGAGAAGGACAAAGGACACGGACAAGGATAAGGCAAGGACAAGGACAAGGACAAGGAAAGGGAAGGCAAAGGAGAAGGAAAAAGCAACGGAAAGGAAAAGCGAATGAGAAGGACCAGGAAAGGAGAAGGAAAGGACAAGGACAAGGAAAGGAAAGGGAAGGGAAAAAGAGGAGACGAAACGGAAAGGAAAAAGAAAGGAAAAGGAAACAGAAGGACCAGGAAAGGAGAAGGAAAGGAGAAGGAAAGAAAGAAAGGAGAAGGGAGAAGGGAGAAGGGAGAAGGGGAAGAGGAAGAGGAAGAGGAAGAGGAGGGAGGGAGGGAGGGAGGGAGGGAGGGCATAGACGCCAGTGGGCCAAAAGGGAGGAGCAGTGGAGCCAAGTGCTTGGGCAGCTGAGATTCTGTCAGCGTTCCGAACTGAACCTTTACAGCTTTATTGCGAAACACCGCAGGAGAACTGCAGCGTGTAGGTGATATCAATATGAAGAACTTCGTTGGATGGAGTCTCATATGTCCTCTCCATCCCCTGATCTGAGTTCCTGAAATGCTCCGGAAATGGAGCGGTGTGAAGCCCTGGCTAATTCAGAAAAGGACACCTAACACTGTGCAATGAGAGGGCCCTTGGAAAACCCAAAAAACACACACACACACCCACCCACCCACCCACCCACCCACGCACGCACACGCACACGCACACGCACGGCCGCACACGCCCGCGCAC